CTACTCCTCCTACTACTACTACTTCTGCCAAGACAATGATAATTGACGAGTTGCCAGTGGCACAGAAGGTGCCGCGAAGTTCGTATAGCTTCACGTGCTGTCAAGTCGTATACATATACACACAAACACATATAGAATATAATTTGTTTTGTTTTTTTCTCTCTCTCTCTCTCTCTCTTCGGACCAGCGATGGTCGCGAAAACGCCGCAAGCCAAAAACGACGGGTTCAAGAGACACGTCCTCAAGGCCTCAGCAGGTCTGGCTTGGTTTATCAAGTCTCATGGTTGTTGAGTTCAGCGTGCAAGGTTGGAGGCTAACTGTCCAGCAGCCGGTCGGTTGAATGCTCAGGGCTTCGAGGGTTAAAAGAAATTCCCGGCTCGATTGCTGGGCTGTAACAGCAGGTCTTGGGGTATCATACCACCGCGGAAGCAGAAGCTTGGAATGCATTTACAGGTGGCAAGTGTCAGTTGCATGCTGCGCCTTCTTTGCTAGAGGTTCCAAGTACCGCTGCGGCACCTGGAACTAAACTTTAAGCAGCGCTGCCTTGTCACATCTGTTTCGCAGCTGACAGCTTTGTTTCCATGGGTTCTCTGCTTGAAAGTGCCCCTCCCCCTCGTCCCTTAGGCCACCTATGCAGTCCTGGAATTTGGAAGTCCAAGCTGCAGATGCGCCGTAATATAGGGATATAGGGGCCTTAATAATTAGGATAGGGTTTTCGGGGGCTCCTTGTTATAATTTTAGTATAATATACCCCAAACCCTATTCTAATTATTAAGACCCCTATATTAGCCATTTGGGCTTCAGATATTCCTGCGGCTCCGGCGCCTCACGGGGCCAGGCCACTTTTAAACTTACCATGGCCCAACCAGAGCAGAAGCGCTTGGTCGATCGAGCCTACCGCTGGCTGGACAGTTTCCACAACGTGGAGCCGGAGCGTGCACCATCGAAGATCGGCTGTGCCTTGACGGTGCTGCTGATGCCTGTCGTTCTTGTCTACGTCGTCGTGTGGGTGATCCAGCATGAAGCGCAGCCTCCGGTGGAAAGCATGGTGATCGACTGGTCAATTTTAAGGGGCCCCTTCCCGATGAAGGTTCAGTGTGAGCAGGCCGATTGCTGGATGTGGATATCAGGGTGCACGAGTGGCAGCTCCGATCAATGCGTTGCCCTATCCAGTGGAGAGGAGAGAACCGTCGAGATGTGCTACGCCATCGGCGCCAGACACGGCATGCACATGTGGTGGAGCTCCCCAAACGGCACTGACCCGGCTGCTGCGGGAGTGAAGATCGTCTCCGAAGCACTGAACGCAGAGACGTTCCAACTCGTTGAGCCTGGCAGGTCCTCAATGACATATGTCAGGACCCACGACACCACGGAGCAAGAGGGAAGCTACAAACATCTTCGAAACGAGTGGTTCGTAAGCTACCTGTCCTCGCAGGCTCTGGAACCTTCACACCAGGGCTGTCGAAACCTTGTCACGGCCAATGCCAACATGGCACAGGTTGTCATGCGCCCCGAGTTCTACGACAAAAAGATCGAGAAGATGGACTTGTGGGTTTCCGTGATCGGTGACTTGGTTGAACCCTTTTGGGGAAGCACAGTCCCTACATAATCCCACAGGGTAACTTTACGACTTGAAGTTCCCTCAGGATACTGGACAAGTAAGGTGAGGCAGGTGGCGCTTTCGGGCTCTTTCAGACTGGCTTCTTCGCTTTGTACCTGTTCCTCTGGTACTTGCAGGATGCGCAGAAACCAAAGGGCGGTGTAGCGACGACAGGTGTCTCAGACATGCACCGCAAGGGAACCGACGACTTCTCTCAAGACGTCGAGAGCGCAACCATCTGAGCCGCTTTTGCTAGAAGCTTGTCCTGGGCTCATGAGCTCCGGGGCTTTGTAATATACTGTCAACGGGCTTCACCATCTATGTGGGTGCATGGTTGCAGTACCTTGGAGACCTGTGTGGGCGATAAGGATCCTGCGGGCCGCGACGATATCGCCGCAGTTAGACGGATGGCCTACTGTGTGCGTGCCTTGTTCACGTCTGAGCATACAATTAGCAACTGCTGGGGAGGAACTGGATTTCTCGAGAGGTTGTGTCGTTTTCTCACGCCATCGTCAGCTTCAGGTTCCGAGCATTAGGCTCGCGGAACTGAATCTTGAGACAGTCCTGTCCCCTCGTCAAGCCAAACGCATGACCTGTCTCAGTTTTGCAATGTGGTCGGACTTTAGTGCAGCATCAGTACCCTGCGACATCAGGTAGTGTCACGCACCAATAACACCAGGAGAGCATGTTTCCCTAAATGGTAAGTCATTCCAAGCGGCATTAGCCTTTTTTCTTTGTAGTGGGCTGGCTTTGTGGAGGAATACACCCTAAACCTGAAACCCTAAACCCCCATGCTGCAGCTTGCAGGCCTCTGACAGCTGTAAAATATCAGGATGTCAGAGGCGTTCGTCCTCGCTGCAAATGCGGCCAAAAGATGCTGTCTCCTCTTTCGGGTCGAGGGTTTAAGATCGAAGATTAAATAATTAGTAATGCTATGCCGCCATGCCCTTGTCGTTCGTATTATATGCTTATACTACCCTGAGCATCCCATATTGATT